TGATTATGACGTTTGTAATTCTAATATGAAACGATATTTGATTAAATGTAAAATTGAAGGATGCAAATTCACATGCAGGTCATCCTTAAGAGAGGGGGGTGGTCAATGAGTTATTGACAGAATTGGTGGACAACACACTTGTATGTCATCTGCTATATCTCAAGATCACCGAAAGCTTAACTAAAAAAATGATCTCCCAGAGCATCATATCTCTTGTCGAAAGTGATGCTGCAATCAAGGTAAAACATATTATCTCTCATATTCATACGACTTACAACTACACCATATCTTACAAAAAGGCATGTATTGCAAAGAACAAAGCAATTGAATCTATTTACATAAATTGAGAGGCCTCATACAACACCCTCCCGCAATGGTTGATAGTCATGCAAGAGTTTCTTCCTGGAACCGTAATAGAACTTGAGACACTCCCTGTATATTCAAATGAAGGAACACAAATTGGTGGTGCAAGAATTTTCCATCGCCTATTTTGGGCCTTTCAACCTTGTATTAGGGGTTTCGCATATTGCAAGCCAATAGTGCAGGTAGATGGAACATGGGTATATGGAAAATATAGGGGCACATTGCTCCTAGTTGGTGCACAAGATGGGAACGATATCATTTTCCAAATCGCATTTGCATTGATTGAAGATGAGACAGGAGGGGCTTGAAGTTTCTTTCTTAAAAATTTGAGACTCCATGTCACACCCCAGTCAGATATATGTTTGATATCTGACCGATATGAGTTCATAAAGAGTGCCTACAATAACCCAGACAATAGATGGTAGAAGCCTCCATCAGTGCATGTGTATTGCATCAGGCACGTTGCACAAAACTTTATGCGAGCGGTCAAGGATAAAGCCCTTCGCAAGAAAATTGTTAACATGGATAACTTATTCTCTATTTTTTACAATTAGAAGAATGTCTTCAACTTTTAAATATATAATTCTTTTATACTAATGTTTTTAATGCATTTACACAGGATATGTGATGAATGAGTCTACATAGGCATACTATAGGGAAGAGATCCACCAAACGGACATGAAAGCTTTAAATTGGATAGATCATCTTCCAAAAAAAAAGGTCATGAGCTTACGAAGGAGGAGCACGATGGAGCCACATGACAACCAAACTTGCTGAATCATTGAACTCGATGTTGAAGGAAACCCACAATTTACCTATTACAACACTAGTAAGATCAACATACTTCAAGATGGGAACATTGTTTGGAAAGCGAGGACGTGATTGGACAAAAAAATATTGTCGTCGGGAAAGAAATTTACTGATAACTGCATGAAAGGGATTGCAGAAGAAGTAGAAAAATCGCACAATTATAATGTCTTGACATTTGATCGTGAAAGACATTGCTTCGTGGTCCAAGAGACGGTTCATAATAACGATGGTCAGCCACTTAGTTATTTCAACGTCGACCTCCAAAAACTAACATGTGACTGTGAGAAATTTCAAACTTTTTATGTGCCTTGCTCCCATGCTATTGCGGCTTGTTCTCAGATTAACCACAATTATACTTTGTTTATCCCTCATGTATATAGAGTTCAAAATGTCTTCAAAGTTTACGAGTTGAGCTTCATCGGTGTTTCCAAAGAAGATAGATGGCCTCAATATCTAGGTGATATTATCTTGCATAATGAAAGGATGTGACGAAACAAAAAAGATCGCCCGAACAATATTCGCATCAGAACTGAAATAGACACTGTTGTGAAAATAAAAAGACGATGTTGGATCTATCAAGGACTCCATATGCACAAAAAAATCTCTGCATCGCCTCAATGCTGCAGGGCCTTCAAACTAGTTACAATTTATTTGCCTCCTATAACTATTAATTTGTGCTGATGTATTATTATTTATAATTACGTTTAATAATATATTTTTAATTATTAATCTGATGAAAATATTATTTTAAAAAATTCAGCTGTGGCATATTGAGAATTTTGTTTTATGACTGTTTGAGAAAAAATTAGTATCCCACTAGTCATTTATATTACTTTTAAATTTTTTATGTTCCTTTTTATTATGGTATGTCTATGTCATTGTCATGGCATGTGCATTCCACCATTTGTCGGTTCATTTATATCCATGTATGCACCTTGTTTGATGTTACTTCACTTCCTTTAAGCTTCACCACTGGAAAATGTCCATTTTTTAGTCTAACTGAAGAAACATATACCGAGAAATCATGTTACTAGATCTGAAAATTCAACACTTATTGGCGTATAAGTGGTTATTATCATATTGAATTTGGTTTATTGATACATCAAAATTGGGTACCTTGTTCAAATGCAATTAACCAATATCAAATCATTCACTATTTGGTTATCAATTTGGTTATCAGTGTCAATGCACACAATCATGATTAATACCACTAACCAAACTCAAAAAACACGAACCACTATTTTGAACTAGGTGTCACAATTGTTAAAACTTTAAGTGTACATATATTATCCATGTTCTAAACACATCATTATCGTCAAAGTTGTCTTTGATAGTGACAACATCAAAGATCAAATACATGATGAGTATGTAGTTTGAATATATGGTGTAGTTGAAACATTAACCTTCAAAAACCAATCTCTAGTTCTGTCATTCATCATAACTTATGGAGATGATTAAGCTCATAGTTTTATCAACAGTTTTGGCACTTTTTGTCCTCTTTTTCCATTTCATCACAAGAATTATCAAATTCAGAAAGCTGAATCTTCCTAAAGGAACCTTAGGATTACCTATTATTGGAGAAACCTTAGAGTTTTTCAAAGCAAATCTTGAGGGGAAACAAATAAGGTTCATACAAGAGAGAATGAAGAAATATGACACAAGGGTTTTCAAGACATCGATGTTGGGAGAGAATATCGCTGTGTTTTGTGGAACAGCTGGGAACAAATACTTATTTAGCAATGAAAACAAGAATGTTCAACTCTGGTGGCCAAGTTCAGTTAAGAAGCTGTTAAGGTTGTCTCTTGTTAATAAAATTGGTGATGAAGCAAAGATAACTAGAAGGTTGCTCATGAGTTTTCTTAATCCAGAAACACTCAGAAACTACCTGTCAAAAATGGATAGGATTGCTCAGCATCATATCAACACACATTGGAAAGGTAAGAAATTTTGTGAGCAAAAGTTTAATTTTGTAGTGAGCAAAAGTTTAATACTGGTTAGTTTTCACTTTTTGAAGGGAATGAGCAGGTTGTTGTCTATCCAATAATACAGTTATACACGTTTGAATTGGCTTGTTGCTTATTCTTAAGCATGGAAGATGGTATCCAATTATCAAACCTTTCATCATATTTTGAAGAGTTTCTCAAAGGGGTCATTGGCTTCTCCATCAATTTTCCTGGAACAAGGTTTCATAAGGCAATGAAAGCTGCAGATGCAATAAAGAAAGAAATTAAATTGATTATGAAGAAAAGGAAAGTGGATTTAGAAGAAAAGAAAGCTTCACCCACAGAAGACCTTCTATCACACTTACTTGTTACACCTGACACAAGTGGAAGGTTTATGAGTGAAGCGGAGATTCTTGATAACATGTTACTACTTCTTTTCGCCGGCCATGACACTTCCAGATCAGTAATCTCATTGATCATGAAGTATCTTGGAAATATGCCTGAAGTTTATGAACAAGTGTTGAAAGGTTCTCACTGAAACATTCGAACACTCATTTCAAGATGTTCCGACTTTTAAGTCTGTTGCACTGATCTTTTGTACAATGCAACAGACTTGATGTCGGAACACAAGAACTTTTAATAAAATTTTGATTAGAATAAATGTTGAAATTGTTTTTTTTTTAATGACAGAACAACTTGATATTAGCCAAGGGAAAGAGGAAGGAGAGTTATTACAATGGGAGGATGTTCAAAAAATGAAATACTCTTGGAATGTTGCATCTGAAGTTTTGAGGCTGTCACCACCCGTCGGCGGCGCTTACAGAAATGCTATGAAGGATTTGACCTATGCTGATTATAACATCCCTATTAATTGGAAGGTATGTTAATCATGCATCATTATTAAGATCCTAATAAAACAAGTTATGTAACACCGACACTTTTGAAAAAATGAGTGTTTGAGTTAGTGTCAAACACCGATACTTGTAATTACATTCAATTTATCAATTTTTTAAAATTATTATCTGTGTCGACATGTCAATAAGAGCATGTGTGTGTCGTGTTTTTGACAGTTGCATTGGAACACTCATACAACACACATGGATCCAACACTGTTTACAGATCCTGAAAAATTTGATGCATCAAGATTTGAAGGAGAAGGACCAATACCTTATTCATATGTTCCATTTGGAGGAGGACCTAGAATGTGTTTGGGACAAGAGTTTGCTCGGCTGGAGATACTTGTGTTTATGCATAATATTGTGAAACGTTTCAAGTGGGATTTAGTTAATCCTGATGAGAAATTCAAGTATGATCCTATGCTAGAACCTGAAAAGGGACTTCCAATTCAACTTCATCCTTCCCGTTACACATCATAATGTATTGATAAGAAGCTTTATCTATGAAGTTTTCATCTTATAATATTAAACTGCAAGGTTTCAGTGTTATATTTCATATTTTTAAAGCAACATCAAATTCATACATATTCAATGCGGTGATTTGTCAGCGCCAGAATTTTAATGCAATATCAAAATCCACAATCGTAAGCTCAATATTAATCAAATAAGGCTTCGTTCAGATAAGCAACCTAATTAAAAGGCTTATAGTATAAGTGTAATTTTGATGTTGTAGGTAATCTGTAGAAAGTGAGAGTCACCTCTTATCTTTGCGTGGATGAAATCCTTTTGAGCAGAAAATGCATGTGAACTAGACAGTCTCCCTCTTGGTTTAATTACTGTTACATAAGAGCAAGCTGCGTCATAGTTGTGCTGACAGGAACAGTCCTCGACTCCAAGTTATTGTATTAAAGTCCCACCCAACACTTCTATCAGGCCTAATGCTTCTCTGATATCAACTTTCATAACTGGTTGCAGCCGTACAAAGTTTTTACTGGGGTTTTTCTGATTTAGTTTTTCGCATTTTAGGAGACTCTAGATTCAGTCTTGTTCTAACAAATGTTACATTTCAAAATTATTAGTTAACAAAATTTGGCTGAGTTCTAAACCAATAAGAGACTACAAGAGTTGTTACCTATTTAATTTTGTTGTTGCAGAAAATGAGGGCCACTTTGTATGAACAAAATCACTTTGAGCAGAAAATGTATGTGAACCAGACAATCTGCCTCTATCACAACCATCACTTTTGGCACCATCACTCCATCACAATACAAATACATCAAACACCTACAAAAAGCCAACATGACCAATATGCAATTATACTGCTAAACCAATTCCTTAGTAACCTCATACTATATGATTTCTTGTGCCCACACAAAGGGTTATTTCTTATTAAATAATCGAACATCACAAATTCTCCAAGTACATGAACGCGGTATATAAAATACATTCAACGTAATAATTGACGTAACTACTCAGTCTTAAGTCAAAATGAACCATTTTCAATGGAGATGTAAAGGAGAGAGAATGTTATAACAATACTTAGAATGTTATACAAGCTAATTACTTAAAAGTAGAAAGCAAAGCTGAATCCTACTTTCTGCATTCCAAGTACTAAGACCACACTTTAAATTAATCACTTTCTTTGATAAAGTTATTAACTAATTTGTTTGTGGCGTTGCTTTCGTGAAATCATGTGCACCATATGACTGCATGTTACGCAAGGAAAAACCCATTTCAGCACAAGTTGGAGTTAATGTCTACATAGTTTTCTGATGGTGCAGTGGTGTGGAATAAGGGTAGTTAGTATTCATCCAGCTGTCTGGTGAAAGATCTCAGTATTAAACACATCAATAGGGAAGTTAAAATTCATCCAGATGTTTTTCTTAAATTTGATGTGCAAATATGAAATACCAGTTTTCAATTCAACTAAAAGTAACAAAGAAAGAATTATCCAATTCAATAATAAAAGCCAAAGTGAACCCGTCATGCTTGAAGTTGGTCACTTTCAAGTGAAAAAATAAAAAGCAGCAGTAGAGAGGGTGGGAAATACATTGCCTCATATAACTCATTATGCCGAACAAGTATGTTTTGGTCTCACTCTTTGTTTACTTCTATATTCTTATTTCTTATACTATCTTTATGTTTTTTTTTAATCTTTTGATCCTTATTCTCAAAACAAGCATGTTTTTTAAGATAGTTAATATTTGTCACCAGCAAGAATGTTGTCAGAGAAGCCATCTTGGCCTGATTCTACTCATAGAAGACCTACAACTAGCTGATACAGTACATGCAACATTATTACATGTCTAGTAGTGATGGCCATAGTTTTAAATTGTTGCCTGCAGTCCAGAATTGCAATTGTAATATATAAACTATAGAATTTTCTACAACGGTATTACAACAACACTTACTATTGTATCAACTGTATGTATTTGCTTGTATTTTACCATAATATTAAGGGTCGCAGCAAAATCACAACATCCACAATTTATACTTGTCTAGATGTAGCATTTTGGAGTGGATTGGCTCCAACATATTCAGTAAGATCAACATAAGGAATCAAATAAGATGCAAGCAGAAAGTTGATATCATTTGCATATGGATCAAAAGGAGGGTACAGAGGTCGTCAAAAAGGCTCTGTCAATCGCCTTAGCAAATGATGATTTGCTTAAATCTAACAAAGGCTTGGGAAACCCTTCAGCTCTGTTCTTTATGGCCTTGCAATAGCAAATAAATAAAGTATTTTTCTTAAGATGAAGTATTTCCCTCTACTACTGTCTTAAGATTCATAGCAAATAAATAACCAAATCATGTCATTCTATGATCGTGGATGTTTGTTTCATTTAATTAATTCCACTATGTGCTAAAAACAAATGGTGGCAAAACACCATTGTCATTATTATGAAATGCTAGGCAAAACAGATTAAGAGGAGAAGCAGTTTATCAAAAGAGAGATCCTTACAGCAATCAATACTCCACCAAAAAAAGAGATGGTTCAGGGGCTAGGCTCACTAGGTGTTGTGGGTTACAGCAATCAATACTCCACCAAAAAGAGAGATGGTTCAGGGGTTTAGGCTCACTAGGTGTAGGGGATAGGCTCACTAGGTGTTGTGGGTTACAGCAATCAATAATACTCCACCAAAAAAAGAGATTCTCCACCAAAAAAAGAGATGGTTCAGGGGTTTAGGGCTCACTAGGTGTTGTGGGCCAATACTCCACCAAAAAAAGAGATGGTTCAGGGGTTTAGGCTCACTAGGTGTTGTGGGCCGGAGGCGCAGCGGCCTGTGATCCCTCCACTGTCAGGAGTAGGAAGTATTCGCTGCTCTGTGAAACCAGCCTCACGCTATGCCCTCCTGTCTAAGACACACAAGACCCATGCCTTCGCACAAGGCCCATGGATCAGCTCGCAACTTGGAGTGGGCAGGCCAGAATAGTGCAACCACAAGTCCAACCTGTTAAGCCTAAACCATGTTCAATCTCCTTGATGCCCCCACATGGGTCACAAGCTGGCGCTACTCAGCTCGGCAAAATAATTAACATGTCAGACATTTATAAACACTTGCTTGAGTGATGTTTTAGCCAATGTGGGACTTAATGGATATGAATTTGTAGTATATATACTATTAAGATGGAACATGTTATAAAACTAATCGTTGACAAGATACAGTTGAAAAGGTTTTTTAAATGGCTTACTTTGTAGTCGGCACTCCCCCAACTACTTATGACATGTTATAACACTAATCATCGAAAAGATGTGGTTAAGGGATTTAATCTACATATAGTAGTAGAATGCAGCACATACAATTTGTAAAGTGAACAGACATATATATCTGGTTTAGCTTAGAGTAACAACAAGCAAGATTATAACTTACCACTGCTGCTTCAGGCTCTAGCTTTGTTCCCAAATCTGACTCAAATTTCTCTAATGTTTTGTCGTACGTAGCATTCCTTCAGCATTTGAACAAGAAAGCCATTGCCACAAGGTTGATCAATCTCAACTTCATCTTTGGAAGCTTCGCTTCTGACCACAAAATGGAACGGGTATTTGAAAAGGTATAAGAAAAAGGGTTTCTTGAAATAAACTATTTCGCGGTGAAAATAAGTTGGGTTTAGTAACTACGACTGGCGGTGTTGTTAAGCTCACAATTTTTATTTTTATTTTGAGCTCTCTCATTTTGTAGAAAGAATAAAAACAGCGAGTCACAGCTTTCTCAATTTTATCGTGGAAATTTTATACTTTACTTTACGTATTTATATTTTTAAATTATTATAAAATGAAATGTTACACACATATATATATATATATATATATATATATATATATATATATATATATATATATATGATTCCACAACTCAAATTTTTTTGGCTTAGTTCCTACTTTTGTTTATGAGATTTTGTTTCAGTCTACTTGCTTATTTGACTCAAATCATAAAATATTTTTGACTTAAACTTAATTAATTTTTTTCATCTATTTTTGTACTTAACCGCAAGCACATATAAAATTATTTTTTCATCATTTTTCATGTGTGAATTTCATAATCAACACTATGATTTTTTGTGAGATCAACTCTCATTTTTCATCATTCCAAATCTCTATGAATACCCCCTCGAAAACTTTACAAATTCCATTGAATCATGTTAAAGAATGATCTTCTTCAAATGGCTCCCATTTTTATTTTGTCATGATATCTTTGGACGCTTTTTCAATGTTTTGAGTGATGCTTAACCTGTTGATACAACCATATGCCTCTTAGTTTTATGTTGTAATTGTACTTGAAAGTTTAGTGAACATGGGATCTTTTCTCGTAAAGAATATTGTAATGCCTAATGACAATTTTCTCTGATTGTATCATGAGCTTCCAAATATTTTTTCAATCCCGCAATATAGAATCCATGACCTCACTGATCAATAACCATAGTCACAATTATGATCAACAACCTTTTTGAACCCATGGTACTTTTATTCGATGAAATGTGCGTTAATACAAATGACCTAATGAAAAAGATGTGAATGCAATGCTAAGCCTAAGCCAGATAAAATAAAATTAGGAGGGAAAATTTGGGGTGCAACAGCTTCCCCTATTTAATCGTCTTCAACCTGAAGGTGAGATTGGCACTAGCCTTTCGAACATTCAAGGTAGAAGAAGATTAAATACTAAGAGAACCTGAAAATTTTCCAAAAACGGGTGAACATATTTATGATTTTTTACTTTTTGGATGCCTCCACTAACAAGATTTGGCGGATAATGGTTTGATATTCCCAAAGGATTTCCATAGAGGAAAAAGAAGGTATGTTGCCTATCTGCCAAGGCAAACGAAACGTGGAAGTGATGCTTAACCAAGCGTACTCACAAAAAGTGAATACGAACTCCACTAGAAAATAACACTTCTTGTGTATAATGCAGAGAACAGACATGGTGAAGATTTATAAATGGAAGACACCGGAAAAGATGAACATAAGTTGAACAAGTGACTGTTGAGGAATTATATGTGATAATCATCTACAACTCGGGGTTGCAAACTCATGACTCAGCAGTCGAAGAAGTATAAACTGACAAGTCAAGGGTTGGAAACTTGTGACTCAAATATCAGAGAAAAACCCAAACTGACAAACTCACGACTCATAATCCAGTGAAGAAATAAACTTACGCACTCGCGGCATGGTAGTGTTATTAAAAGTATAAAATTATATAAATAACTTCATAGCGCCATATTTTGAGAATTCATTTAAAAGATATATCACGTCGAATATTTAATAAAATCGAGGGGTTAAAATTTATCAAACAAAGTATTAAAATAATATTTTGAAATTAGTATTATGAAAATGTTAATGCAAAATATATTACGTCTCAGTTGGATCCTATAGCCAAGGTAAATACTAATGGAACTAATAGAAAAAGATAAAAATAAAAATTGTAAAGGCGTCAAGTGAGAAATGCCTACTATCAATTGAAAAAAAATATAAAATACAGTAACTGGGTGTCGAAGCGAGCTCCCTTATTGATATCTTACCTCAGTTATAATGAATAACCGAGGTCTAATGTTTTGCATTTAAAAAAAAATTAATACAACATAGCGCTCCCATGACCTATACCCTCGTTTTTCATTATTCGAGGTGTAACCTTCGTCATGAAAAGTGTTATTTGTTGTAGTATGTGTTGATAAGGTTTCTTCTGCTGCTAGTTGTAACACCCCATTTCTACCCGACAAATATTAATAAAATCAGAGTTATAAAGTTTCAACATATAAATAGGATGCTACACTTTCAACTTATAACAACAACATTTAATTGCATGCAAAACAGATACATAACACATAAATCATCGGATGAATAGATAATAACAAGTTTAGTCTTTAAAACGAAATAACTTTAATTACTTAAGCAGCAGGATCACAACTTTCAATTCAAATGACATAACATCTTTGTCCAACCGAAAACAACTTCAAAACAACAACTACTTAACGAAATCAACTTAAAATTCAACAACTGAAGTAATAACAATGGTAAAGCAACAAGCGTTCACCCCCCCGAGTGTTACGTATCAGAGCGACGACACCGTCTCGAACTAATGAAGGTAAACAACCTTCATTATGGATTACCTGCATGTTACCAACATAGGAGTAACATTCAAGCAAAAGGGGTGAGATATCAAACAATATAATCAGATGTATGATAAATAATATATTAGAACCAGATCATACAAAATCACTACTTCACAACTTTTTAACAAAATTCAACACAACTAATTCTTCCATACAACAACTTAGGATGCAACATGAAATGCGACTTGATTTTTATGAACATGCATGTGGTACCAACAAAGCAGAACTCTCAACTTAATAATCTGCCAATAAATAGAGGCATCAATAAGGCATAAGCCTTCAACTTAATATTTTTCCAATCCAGGTCAACTTAACGAGCATCAACTCCAACTTGATATGCGATGTATGCGACCAAATGTGAAAGTAGCAACAACAACAACAACAAACAACAACTCAACATAAATCAATGTTGGCCATAAGCCTATAACATCAACAACAATTCAACATCAACTCAACATAAATCAACATTAGGCATAAGCCTATAACATCAACAACAATTCAACATCAAATCAACATAATTCAACTTTGGCCACAAGCCTACAACTTATTTGCCAAGAATTAAAGGCATTTTAACAACAACAACAATTTCCACTATTGCTAGTGCTACTAATTAATTCTCTATTGTTGTTTTATTGCTAATAGCTTTATGTCACTATTTCACAATTAACTCCTACTGTCAACTTATTCCTACTACATGTATTATGCTTTTATACTGTTAATAGTTCTCCGATAAGGTTCCTACAATTACACCCTACTACTATTAATCATCTCATACTACCATGAACTACCTCTGCTATTATTTTACTGTTAATAGCCTACAACTTGGTTTTAACCAATCAATATAGGCAACACAACAAAGTTCATCACTACCTGCAATTTCCCAATTAACAACAACATCATCACAACAACTTAATAATTGTCCCTGTTAAGCATTTTGACTCTGCCATCTATTAATCCTACCTGTTACATATGCTAAGCTACAATTTGTTTACTTCGGTAACTAACAAATAGTCTATGCTATTATTTATTGGTTTTGTTACTTATTACTGTTAACTCATTTACTTAATTAAACTTGCTGCTAATACACATTTACTATTTGCTAATAATTAGAACTAATAAAGTAGCAAGTCCAGGAACAAACAGAACAACAGAAAAATAGAGTTTTAGGGACGTGCCCCTCGTTATACCTAGGGTTCCCCTCGGCACAAAGCTAAAAGGTTGTGCCGCTCGTCATGGAGTTGTGCTGCGCAGCACACTCCTCTCCAAACCATGTCGATCGGCATGCTCGTGTGCCCCTCGGCAGAAAGTGTTCTCACACAGTTTCTTCCCAGGATTACTGATTCAAACATTGAATTCCCAAATCTTCCTTCGATTGACATCATTTTCACAACAACATGATACAACACATTATTACATCAACATAGTAACATAACAATTATATCTGCAATATCATAATTTCCACCAATAGATAGTTAATTCTACAACCAATTCAGGAATATCCACAACGTGATAACAACATGATAACATACAATTCCAGAAACATCAATAACAACATACGCACAACAATATTACACCAACCCAATTCCCACATAATATACATCATAGTTCCCATTATAAAGTCAGAACCCCACCCTTACCTCGGATTGAAGGTCTCTCTATGATTTTCCGATCGATCATACCTTTGCCTCTTTTCCTTGTTCCTCTTCTCTGCCACTTCCTACGTTACTGCTCCAAGAATTCCTTATTTTTCTAATTAACCTAATTTCTCATATCAACTTAACCTTATTTCAGTAATCACATTTGGGCCTACTTACACACCCCACCTTACTTTATACCACCATATAACTAAATCCAGCAACTTAATCTTATATTATTCCATTAATTCCAATATTATTATTATTATTAATCAACTAATTAATTAATTAATAATAATCTAACAACTTATATCAATAACTCTCAACATCTCACAACTTCAACAAATAATTCAAAAATAATTTAATTAAATAATTAATTAAATTAACGACCGTTACAGCTCTCCCCCACTTAGAATATTTTCGTCCTCGAAAATCTACTCGATAATACCACTCTTAACGCGGATTTTGCATCACACTCTATAATCCTCAAGTCGCTTCTGGTAACACTTCGAACATTACTTTCTCGACATAACAATAACTCAACACGATTTAAATTAAATACACATATGCTAATCATTCAACACCTTCGCGACATAATCGTTAATAACTTATCAATCACTTCAACAATATCTTGACATATCAAAATTTAAAGTAGTAACAATCATAACATACTTATACTTGGATATAAAACATCACATCATCATCTTAACAACATTTTCAACACCAAAACTCATACACACTTTCATTCCCATATATATATATATATATATATATATATATATATATATATATATATATATATATATATATATATATATATATATATATATATATATGTGTGTGTGTGTGTGTGTGTGTGTGTGTGTGTGTGTGTGTGTGTGTGTGTGTGTGTGTGTGTGTGTGTGTGTGTGTGTGTGTGTGTGTGTGTGTGTGTCAATTATCAACAAAGTATGAACAACTCTATTCATATCATTGTATCACCCTTATAGTGACATCAACATAGCCAACATAGTCAACGCCGTCATATTATAGAGTACTATTCCTCATTCACATTAACCAACAATAACATCATAACAACAGGAACAAAATCATTATAACATCAACTTAACAGTATAACTCAACCAACATACACACAACTCACCATCAACCAACAACCATATTAATATCCTTATAAAATCAGCAAACTTTTACGAGAAAACACAATACCCTGGCGCATCCTCCCTATATCAACAATCCACCAAATCAAACATGTAGATCAAGACATATCAATCCCATAGGATTTTGATATTTAGTCCTTCACTTCTAACGAGTCGTACAAGCATACAATCGCGCCACATCACACTTCAGCTGCGCAACTCTGATCACCCATCTTATGTCACCGTCCTCATTAAAATTTCTGTCAACTATATGGTTTACAAGTTTCAACCTAGTTTCAAACTTTCTTTAACATCCACCATAAAATCGTTGTTCACTTGATATTCTCAATATTTCACTTTGCGACATTAGCTTGCATATAAACCCGCTACTCCAAATTGATCAATACGTCTCAACTCATTCCTAGACACTCCTCTATTACTTCACACAACCTGGTGAGTGACTATCCTCATGATACAACATCAATCACTTCACACACTATTAAGACAGCAAGACAAGTCTATACCATCCAACACGATCTCGTCTACTATCAACAAGGGATTAAGGGTGATAAGTTCCTCAATTTGTCAATAGATAGCCGACAACCATAAGGGAGCATAAATCATATTTACCAAACTATATTAGCGTTCCTTTAGAACTTGTACTCAAGTCACCTAAAGTACCATAATCCAATAATCTCTAAGGAGGTTTGCAAGTACTCCTATAATTTCTCTCATTCGATCTTCTCAATGAGACACTGACGCTCAACATATTACATGGTCCATATTACACTCACTTAGCCTCACACGAAGGTTAAGTATTTTCCAACTCAAGAATTACTATGATACCAGTACATTATACGTCATCTCGTCCCAATTGAAATCTCAACAATGTTTTTCCATAATGTTATGGTGATAGAACCTCTCCAATTATTCTCTTACACATGCCACAACCTTGGCATCATAAACATGACTATAGTTCCTCTTAAAAGCATCTTCCTTTAAAAGGACATCTTCATTATAATCATTGTTAATCATCATAAGCT